CTCATCTGTAAAATGAGCTGGAGAAGGAAATGACAAACCACTCCAGTATCTTTACCAAGAAAACCCCAAATGGGGTCACAAAGAATTGGACATAACTGAAAACAACTGAACTTCCTCATATAGTACTAAAGTATTTGAATTCAAATATGGTAATTCCACTGGTACTGATCTATTTCAGAACTATAGTTTTCTTCTTTCTACTTTCATCTCTAAGTGCTATCAGGGTGATATGACTTAGCTAGTTATCACACCAAGCTCATTTTCACCTCAACTTATTTTTGCTATTCTGTCCTCTTAATAGAATGCTCTGCAAATCAGCTTGTATTCTAAACCAATATTGTCTTTGACAGCTATCTTACTCTTCTTGACAAAGAGAAAAAAATGTCTGTTGGTTGACAGTTTCAAGATGAATTCAGTCTTCTCATTGTGGTAACTGCTTTATATCTGTTAAACTTATTTAACAAAGGGTGACAATCAGGATTAATGTCTTCACTTCCCATTTTCTAGCATCGACACTTTGTTTAAATAGGTTGTGTTGGAATTAATGCAATTTCAAGTGGTATCTTCTTTTCATCTTTATCCCTTTTTCTAATATGGTGTTAACTTTGACTTTTGCTCTAAACAGGTCAATGATCTTACTGCACTGCTTTGAAGTAATCTATAAGCCTCTTGCCTCTCATTTCTTAATGTCTTATCACTCTTGCAACATATTTTCCCAATATTTTTTCACTGTGCCATCCTTGAGACTGAAGCCATCTTCAATAAAGGGGAGAACAATAACCAGTATTTATGAGGAACTTTTAAAAATTGTGAAGCTATTTACATAAATTTCCCATTAGAGCCTCACCACAAACCTGTACTACAAATGTGCTACATGTATTATTACCTCCATTTTACTGATTAGAAAACTGAGGTAGAGACATTAAATGACTTATCCATGGTCATAGAGCACAAATACTTACTTTACAGAATTCTGTCAAGTTTTTTCTATGTCCTCTATTTCTTATTTTTTACAACTACCTTAGTGACTTTCTTTTGATTATGTTTATTATAAGCAATACAAAGTCAGATGACAAAGTATTCTAGAAAACATTTCTTGTTCTTGGACACATGATGAAACCAACTCTGCCAATTCGAATATATGCCACTCTGAAGAGAACAACTTTTATGTCTTCAGATTTTATTTTTAATAAGATTGTCTATATAGATAAAAAACAGTTTCTCTAGTTATCAATTCACTGGTAATTGAAGAAAGAGCTCTCATGTAGAGTGTACCAACATTCAGTTAACATTTGTACATAGTCTGAGGTGACTAAGTGGTTTAGAATGCTAGACTTGGAGTCAGGAAGACCTGAGTTCTAATCTAGCATCAGTCACTTGTTAACTGTATGACCCTGGGTAAGGCACATAACATCTGTCTGCCTGAGTTGCCTCTTCTGTAAAATGGAGATAATAACACCTACCTCCCAAGGCTGTTATCAGAATCAAATAAGATGATATTTGTAAAGTACTTTATAAACCTCAAAGTGCTATGTAAATACTAGTTATTATTTAGCCAGATGTACATGCTCTAAAATCTGGGATTCTTCATACCTTTGTTTTGTTATAAAAGTAACAGAAAAGTATAGGTAGCTTATTTTCTATTTTAACCTCAAAAATAAGTTTAAAAGTATTCAAAGTCTATAATTAAAGAAACAAAAAAGTCTGCTTTCCATTTTAAAATCCATTACAATAATTGAAAACCATTTTCAGTGTGATACCAATGATTAGTTTTCTTCTCAAACATTACAAACTATGAATTTGGCCTTCCCTCATAATCTTAGTGTCTAGGAGCTCCAAAGGACATTAATCCCTCAGTAAAGCCTACACAATACTTTGGGACATAAAAATACGCAGACTTTCACATACAATAGGGACTAACTCCACAGTCTTGTCAAGCAACCAATGCACACTTGTTGAGCAATCACCTATTATGAGTAAGTTGGTTAAAAGCTAGATACTGTTCCTTGCTCCCCCAGGGCAATAAGCTAATTAGGATAAGGGTTACAGTTGAGTTGTTTCAGTTAAGTCCAACTCTTCATGATCCCATTTGGGAGTTCTGTGGGCAAAGACACTGAAGTGGTTTACCATTTCCTTCTCTAGCTCATTTTACAGGAAAATAAAGCAAAATGACTTGTCAAGGGTCACATAGGTAGTAAGCATCTGAGGCCGGATTTGAATTCATGAATTGGTCCTGTTAGCATTACTCTCTCTGAATTAGAGATACCCTAGAATCTAGCATCTAGAACACAGGAAGACACCTAGAATACCATAAATTGCAAAAGCTTTGGTATTCTGGTGAGAATTTGTAAATATTTATTTAATTTGTTCCAAGTGGTTTCCTTTGGAAATCTCATGTTCTACTCTGCTTTCAATCTGAAAGCCTCAAAGCTCAGATCACATTCTGTAAAAGACAATCAGGAAAGGTTAAGAAGCCTCATTGGCAAGTAAGAGTCTCATCTACTACTTGTCTCAATTTGATGTCAATCACCCTCAAAGGAACAAGTATATTTTAACAGGATTATCACCTTCTTGGTTACAGCAATCTCTGCCCAAGGGACAGTCAACCATCATTTATTAAGGGCCTACTATGTCCCAAGTACCGTGCTAAGCACCGAGAATGAAAAGGCAAAACATAGTCCTTGCTTTCAAGAAGCTCATCGTCTAATGGGGAAGTTCAAAAGATGTAGATATACACGTCTCTATCTTTCCCTATTTGAAGTGGATGCACTACCCCAAACCAACCGGACACTGTTAACCTCAAAGCTTGACCTCTTCTTTGAAAACTATGTACTATATTCCTAGATAAATGATAACCAGGATCCCAACTTAGAAAGACTTCCTTTTTCCCTCATGCTGAGGAAAGTCATTTACTTTTATGCCAAATAAAACACTTTTCCTACTCTCCCCCTCACTCTGCCCCCCACACAAACTGTGCAACTAAGTTTTATGAAAAAACTAAGTTTTTTTTGATTTATAGGAAAATATCCAAGGGCATATGACTGAGTGGGTATATAATATCTTCACACAGACAGCACTATTATAAAGAACAATGCAATTCAACATTCAACTCTTCTACAATTCAAGAATATTTTGGATGCTGGCAAGTCACACAAAAAAGGGGAGAAAGGAATTGAGTTAGGTACAGTTTTATCCAGTAAACAAATGCATATAGAAATACCTCAAAATTACACAGGCAGCAGGCAATCCAGTAGACTTTGCCCTTGGTTCCATATTCCTCTAACTACCCTGGGCAATGCTAATAGGAAGGCAGGAAAACGATGTACAGATACTTCATTACATGCAGTAGTAGATGGATCTTGAAAGGAATAGACTTGGAAAATATATTTCAACTTGATTTACAAAATTTCAAAATTTAGGGTTAAAATCACAATGAAGCTGGAGAAAGGAAGCCAAAGCACAAGTTCCTCCACAGCCTTTTGGGGGAAATATCAACTTTACTTCAAAAGCCTAAGGATATCAATTAAGCAATTTCAAAATTTGGGATTAAAGCCAGTGAAGTTAAGAAAAAAGGAAGGCAAAGTGCCTATGCTTTCCCACCCTGTTTGAAAGTTTTTGAATTGTTTGATCTCTGCTGATACAATCCTAACTCATCCCCTATATTCCCTTGGATATCTTCCCATAAACCTAAATGTCCATTTGCCATCATTCATAAAGCTTAGCTACACAATGAGGAAAATGGGAGGGGGGAGAAAAGGTATTATTTGGCATAAAAGTAAACAACTTTCCTCAGCATGAGGGAAAAAATAAGTTTTTCTAAGCTGGGATCCTGGTTATCATTTATCTAGGAATATAGTACATAGTTTTAAAAGAAGAGGTCAAGCTTTGAGATTAACAGTGTCCGGTTGGTTTGGGGTACCGCATTAAGTTCACATAGGAAAAGTACAAAACTACCAGGAACCCTCAATGAAATAAAAATCCCAAGCATTTCCTAGGTTGAAGCAACTTTTGGATAATTTCCCCCCTCTTTGAGGTTTGTTTTTCAGGGAGTGGGCGGGTACGAAATAACTTTTGGGTTACTATTACTCAATAAAGACACCTTTCCATTTTTCTAAACCTGACCGAAATTTGGCTTTGGATTTTGTTCCTGTCTAGGTTTTGTTATTATGTAGAAGTCTGTGGGAACAGAGCTCATGTGACCAATTCTCCCACCAAGAAGCCCCGAACTCCTCCTCCCTCCCGTCTGTTTTAAGCGTCTGAACGAAAGGAAATTCACTGAACAGGAATGACATTATGGAAGGAGAGAGTTGAGGCAAAAAGTATTAGGGAAGCAAGAAATGAAATTCTTAGTTGAATCTGGATCTGCAAATTCCACTTGTGCTTCTGAATAACAGACATAAATTAAGTGATTTCTCCCTCCCCCATAAAAACACACACACACACACTCATACAAAACACACACACACACACAAAACTTAAGTACACTAAATAAAAATTAAGTATCAACAAAGCTTACATTGAAGAAAGGTAAATAGCATAAACATTATAGGCTGCAGGATCAGAAAATTCAGCAAGAGCAACAAATTTTCCAAGTAGGGGTGGGCGCGATTAGAAAACGAACTTTTTTGTGAAAACCCCGCAGCCCCAAAGTCCCAAGCAGATAAAGCCCCTGTGATGTGGGCAGGAGAAGGAGATGAGCTGGCAGGTCTGTGTAACACCGGTACACAGTTCCCCTCCTCCCCTCTGCAAGGCCCCACCAAAGCCAGGCCTAGACCCTTCCCAGAAGCAGATAGCTCCCCAGCCGTCCCGGTGACAGCCCAAAGCGCTCTCTCCCGGCCCGGAAAGGAGCCGAGGTGGAGCTCGCTCGCAGGCTAAGTGAGCACCGGGAGCAGAGGCCCGGGGCCCGCCGCGCCGCCAGCCCCCGACTCCGGCTCTCCGCAGAGCCGGCACTTCCATGCCGCCGGAGCCTGAGGCAGGAGGGAGGGAAGCGAGCAACTCACCGGGGACGCCGAGGTTGGGGTTCGGCTGAGCGGCGTGGCGCTGCGTGGCCCGGCGCGAGGGGCGAGCGGCGGAGCGGCGAAGCAGGAGGAGACGCCGCGGGCAGCGGGGCGCGAGCACCCCGTGGCCTACTCTCCGCTGTAGCCGCCGCGGCTCCGGTCCGAAAAGGAGAAAGGGAAGAAGGGGAGGGCGCTGCGCCGGGCCCCAGGGCGAAGGAGTCAGCTGCTTCCACGGGAGCCCACGCGGCGGCGGGGCTAGTAGTCCGCCCTCCTGCTCCCCTCCCTCGGCTTTTCTCCTCCTCCCCCCGCCCCCAGCGCTAACCCTGCGACCTCCCCAAGCTGACTGGCTCCGGCTCTGCGTGCGTATCCAGACCCCACCCCGCGTCCAAAGTTTTCCAACTACCGACGGGGGTAGATGCAGTTTTTAAAGGGCATCTCAGACCGGAAGGCGAGGGATAAATAATGTATTGGAAAATATAAGAGGCTTCTCATCTCCTGTCCAGTCTCAGGCCCCTGTGAAGCCTCTGCCTCGGGCACAGTTCCTGGTTCTGACCGGCTAGAAGTGCCTCCGCTGGAGACTGGAATCCTTCCCAGTTCACGACGAGGGGTACAAAGGGGACCGTGGGCAACTGGTCTCAGGACGAAACTTGGCTGTTTTTCCCCCACTTGACCCTGGACCTCATAACATAGTCGCACACAGCCTTTAACCGATGTTAGATTGGCCCCAGTATTTGTTGTAACTGCCCTTCCCCGCCAAAAAAAAAAAAATCATCCTGGTGCTAGACAAACACAGCTCGAACCTTTCTAACAGTTCTAGCAAACAAGTTCAACAAAGAATGTATTAAGCACCTACTATGTCTAGGTGTTGCATATATAAATGGCCCCTGACCTGAAGGAACTTACGTTTTATAAGGGGGTGGGGTGCACATAGAAAATTAAATCTGAAGATACTTGTGAGAACAGAACACTACGATAGTTTCTATAGAAGCTAGAAAGGTGTGGAGGGAGTACCTTCCAGGCGTGAGGGAAAGCCGGTGCAAAGGCATTGAGAGTAGTGATGAAACTTTCTATGTATACAGCTGCAAGCTGTTTGAATTCCTTAAGGCAGTGTTGTGCAATTAGCCTGGAAAAGGTGAACAAGTCAGATTGTGAAGGTCTTTAAAAGCCTAAGAGAGGAGATGCACACACACACACACACACTTTTTTTTTTTTAAATTCTATGGCCTTGTAATCTGCAAGAAGGAACCACTGAATGGGGAGGGGGATGGGTATGCGGTTAATACTTTCAAACCTATGATTTTGAAATACCACTTAAGAAGAAAACACTTTAAGGGAGTCTTAAATCTTTTCCCATTATCTATAAAATGTATTAGTATAAACAATAATGTAATAATAATGAAATAAAGAATAATGACCTTTATATGGAGCTTTAAAGTTTCCAAAGTGATAAATGTTTGTGTGTGTGTGTGTGTGTGTGTGTGTATAATTTGAGAAGATACCTAGATAACAAGGTTGACTTCTAGAAACCGAGATAGGGGAATAAGAAAATAAGAAATGTCATTCTGGCTCTCCTTTCTTGACCGCTAAAAACCCGGAAAATATTGCCTCAGTAAAACCCTGGAACAGCTGAGCCAGCAGAAAGACAGGGTGCAGCAATCTTGTAGCCTGAGAAGCTTGGGGGATTAACAGGAAACCTTCTTCTCACTCTGGTGGAAGGGGAACAGTATAGGATGGGAGGTGTCCCAGCAAGCCACTCCTCAGCAAACCAGAGGGAAATCCTGAACCTTAGGGTGGTGGAGCAGGCAAGTGCCAACACCAGTACCCCCTCACCCCCCAGTACCTTGGCACAGGCAAGGGAAAGGGTGGACTGAAACTCAGAAAACCACAACGTGATCCAGTGAGCAGGCATCCTCTAGAAGCCAAACTTTCCAATGTTTCAAAGCTACTTGGGTGAGCTGGCTTCCTTCAGGGGCCAGACTGCCCC